CCGCGGGTTGGTGGGGGGCCCCCCGCCCCCCCGCTGGCACGGGCGGGGCTGTCGCTGCGATGCTAAAGCTAAATAACTGCACCCAAGTCCGTAAGTACTTCAGTTACAGTACTTAAACGTATTTAAATTATCCGAAAGCCGGGGCCCGTGCACGGTGCCCTGCCTTGTCAGAAGTTAGCACGGAGGCCTGGGGGGACGGGTCTGAGAGCAGGGCTGGGACCTGCTGCCTTTCGGTAGGTGCTATAGGAGGCCCCACTTACAGAGTCGCCCTTGCAGCTTTTCAGACGAGGCGTTTTAAACAGGAGCTGCAGTCTCAAGTGAGCGAAATGCCATGGCTGTTCTGCAGAGAATTTACATCAGCGAGCGGTTACAGGGGCTGGTCGCCTTGGGCAGGCGCAGGGCCCATGCGGAGCAGGGTGCAGTTTCTGAAGGGAAATGTTAATTGCTGTGTAATGAGCTCCATGTTTGAATTATTGGTAGGATAAGAATTGGAGATACTACATTCTACAATGGTTTGCAAATGTAACCGTTGTGCTAATACTGATTGTCTATCAGTTAATACTGTATTAAGTTATTAATGCCACATTACCATATTACGGCTAGTTGGAGAAGGCTGTTGTAAGCCTTTATTTACGCTAATGACAGCAAAGTCTGGAACAAAGAACACAGTCTTAAATCTGCATTGCAAAGGTGTTTCAAGCTTCAAAGGTGTGGTGCTGCTCTGGCTGGGCTTTAGCTCCCCTTTCAGCCACTGTCACTTAGCTGATGTTGAACAAATGTCCCTGCCAAGTTGTCTGTGGAAGAAGGGAAACAATTTTGTGCCACTGACTGTGCAGGGAAAGCCCCGAGCTCCCTTCTCTGCTGAGTCTCTTCTGACGCAGATTCATAATCCTCATGCAGGAATGTTCACACTTCTTCCTGATACCTGTTCACACTCTCAGGGCAAACGGTTGCAGGTTTTGGGTCCCAGTAATGGAAATCGGTTGTATACGGGTCACCGTGAACTGCTGGTGCTTTACAAGTGCTGTTTTACCTGGCTACTCCTTTTCTGCTGTTTTCTTAATAATTTAGTTTTTCTCATGTAGAAATATGTGTGAAAACTAGGTTTTACTCCTTGTCATTCCTAAGACTAAGTTGGCTGTTCATTGGTGTCCAGTGGAAGACAAAGTGGTAATTCTTCAGGTCTAATTACAGGTGCCTGTGGACGTACAAAAAAGTTCAGTTTTTGCTTTTGCTGCATTCTCTGACCATAAGAAATTAAACTGAACACTGTAATGCTCATAATCTGTTGTTTTACTGTTGGAAAGATCTGCTTTCCTCTTAGGAGCCCAGGGCTGGTGGTTGTTTTTGTGTTTCCTCTTTCCACTCCCCCACAGTGAGAATTCTTGCAATTTTTTCCATGCTGACAATAGAAGTTAGGTTTAGGATTTGCAGCACTGTGCGCCCTGCCTACTGAACCCAGAGCTTATGTGGTGCCTCTGAACTAAAAGCAGGATGATAGAAGTGCAATGGGCTCAGTTCCACCTCAACAGATGGATGTGAGTGTGTGCCGCCAAGAGAGCATGTCACATATGTCTGTTAGGGCACGACCCCCTGCCCAGATCATCTAAACTCCTGTCTGTCCTGATTTTTTACATGTCTGTGGTTTGGGGATGTGGCACTGCTGCATCATTTCTAGGCTAGATTAAATTCTGAAAATACACTATAAGCATTGTGGCCAGCAGTGGAGATAACGGAATGATTTAAATCAGTGAAAAAGGTAGTGGAATATAGAAAAATATTTTGTGGGGATCTCCAGATGGAGACTGATGCTCAGAGGGCTACAAAACAGGCTGAACCCAAATTTGCTGCCGTGACATCCTCTCCTGTGCAGGCTGCTATCTGTGAACAGTGCCACTCCGTGGCAGTTCCCGTGCCGGGAGAAAGCTGAAGTCAGGGTAGAGAGCACAGGACTCCTGTTCTTGTTCGTGATGCTGGCTTAATAAGGTATAAACCAGCAACTGCTTTTGTCTCCATATGAGGGAGGCAACTAATTTTGTATTTTGATACGGTCCTGTGTAAAAATAACATCTTTTTACTCTCCTTGAATCAAGACCCCCTGAATAACAGGTTTCTACTTGGTTTATTGTAATTTCTATACCTGTGGTAGTTTGGAGCTGCCTGTAATTACTTATCAATAAAGCATAAGCTACAGCATGGCTCAGGAGATTAGCAGCTGAAAGACTTGGCCATCAAAGTTCCCGATTCAGGTGCCTTCTGGACCAGAACTGTCTGAGGCTTGTTACCACGAGATGTCTCTTTGGTTGCTTTTGTGAAGCAGATTGCTGGTTGCCTTCCCAGTCCTCATCACCAGTATATTTTAGAAAGACTGTCTGGGCCAGGCACTTGGTTTGAAGCAGAGAGAGACAGCTTCGTGTAGAGGCAAGAAATGGATTTATCTCCCCTAGACATGAAGTGTTGCTCCCTACACAGAATAAAGGCTTGTGGATAAAATACTAACGTGGAAGTCAGTGTGATGAGGACCTGCAGGGGTATCACCTGGTTTTGTGAGGAAATCGAAGACTCAGGTCTCCAGTGCTGTCACTCAGGTTGGATAAGCTCTAAACTTCCTTCAAAATGTCTTAAAAGAAAATTACATCCTTGAGCTTCAGAGTTTCCCATTTGTATGTTAAAGTGGTGCTCTTTAGAGCTGTTTTAGGTACAGTAATTATTTTTTCTCTGTAAAGAATGCAGTCTCTTTATAGGAAACACTTTTTTTTCTCTATTTTTACTTCTGGAAACTAGAAGCCCTGTTTTGAGTCCACCCCCTCAAGGCAGTGTCGTAGCTGGTTTTCCACACAGTAGGGCCATCAAATCAAACTAAATCTTTGTTCAGGTTGTGTAAGACTGCAGGACCTAACCCTGTGTTGCTGTATGAATTATATATATGCATAGTAGCATAATACATATGCTTCATTATCCTATTTTGAGCTCTGTTACACACATACAGATAAGTACTTGCGCCAAATCTCTGTGTAACAATTGCATCATCTAATACATTTACTCTCAAAAGTCTTTAGCATTTGCAAGTCTTTTCATTGTACACGGGGATATTTCCTCTGTATAAAAGCAGAAATGCGCTCAAACAATGGATTTGCTGTCAGTGATTAAGAAACACCCTCATTTAATACACTGGAGAGCTTGGCCTGAAAGCTGATGGCATGGCACTAGCCACAGAGTCCTGCATGAATTGGGTTCTAATCCTATTTTCCTTGTAACAGAAATCTTCCCAATATGTTCAGTGTAGTAAGATAGGGCCTCTATGTGCTTGTATTCCAATAAATGTGATTATAGATCAAATGCTGCTTTTAGATGTGCCTGCAGGGCTCTTCTTGACTTCAGTTGGAGTCCCAGTCATGCACTGTGGAAAAATGTGATTCTTTACATCTTCTAGTTGAACTGAAACGTGAACTTATTAGAATAGATGTGTCTGTTACTGAGATTATCTAAAGAGCACAGAGTCTCATCTGACAAACTGGGTATAAATAGAAAATCCATAGTTTTGGGCATGTCATCTGGAATTGTAGTTGGTAGAAATTTGTGATCAGCATTATAATATATAAGGGAATAGATCCAATGTAACAGAAAAATTGCCCAATATGCCAGAAATATTACCTACTCAAACAGAATTTTTTCTGTAATGTTTACACTAGCATATGCGGCACTGGTGAGGCCGCACCTTGAGTACTGTGTTCAGTTTTGGGCCCCTCACTACAGGAAGGACATGGAGGTGCTGGA